TGTGTGTGTGTGTCTGTGTGTGTGTGTGTGTGTGTGTCTGTGTCTGTGTCTGTGTGTCTGTGTCTGTGTGTCTGTGTGTCTGTGTGTGTCTGTGTGTGTGTTCCTTCCTTTTATTTTTTTCATTTTACAGCAGTCACTGTGTATTAACTGACCAGATTACAAAAATATCTATAGTAGATACCTTAGTTCATCCTTCTAATAAGTCTGTTGATCTTGTTTTCCCTGTTGCCAGCATCTCCACCTTCTACAAAATAAGTGGTTTTTTTTTTCATTCTGCCTCATGGAGAAGATAATTTGAAGGGTCACAGGAGGTCGTTTGCTTCTTTGAAGCATTTTTCAACAGTGTAGATCTTATGAATCAGATCCTCCATGCAGATGATGTCATATTTACTAAGAGATTGAGCAATCAATGTGTTATCCATCAGGGCAGTTCACTTTTTGTTGATTTTGCCATAACCATGCCTATAGATCAGCTCATTTACTGACTTCAGGTACCCCATGCAATATAAGGTTCCACAGTCCCCTTAATTGAAGCCTTGTTGAGCTTAATAAAAGGGCAATCGAAGATGTGGCTAAGGTGAGGAAGCTGCAGCACCTTTTGGACCTTTGGGCTCATACCATTAATACCTCTGATCCTGATGACAAATGCCAGTTTGGGTTCTGCAGGTATATGGAGGTTGCCAGCTCTTCTTGCCATCCTAGCTATTCAAATCTCAGTTCTGTACATCTGCCTTTAGTATTTCTTGTGATAGTGCTTAGCTTTTTCATACATAATCATTTTCCTTGACTTTCGAAGCACCTTTTGGGCAAACTTCTTTCTCAGGCGTGTTTGATCTTCAGCTCTGTGAAATTCCTTCACTTTTTCTTAAGGGTTTCTGGCACAGCAGGAATCTTTTTCTCCTGCATGCCCCATGGCTCCAGGCAGAAAAAAGTGTTTTCCTTTTTTTTAAAGCATAATATAATGGTTAAGAGCAGGAACTCTGGAATCTGACCACCTGGATTCTGTCATTTACTAACTGTAAATTGAGGATTTCAGTACCTGCCTCCTTGGGTTATCATAAGGATCAAAAGGATTGATAAATGTGAAGTGCTTAGTAGAGTGCCTGGTACATAGTAAGTGCTATAAAAATGTCATGTATATTACTGTTAGTTCTATTTTTTTACCCACAAACCATAAAATGTGATCAGATTCCAAGAACACCGAAAATGATCATCTCTCAACTTTAAGGTGCAAATTAGCAGATGTTCCTAAGTCAAAGGACAGAAAACCAATCTTGCTCTTATCCAGCATTTAGTTTTCTGGCCTTCTTAATTATCCAGAACAAAACCAAAGGAACAGAAAGTAAGCAGAAAGATCAAATGTGCATTGTACTCAAGGATACATGCCAGCCATTTCTCAGGCTCTATTTACTCTTTTTCCCCCCTAAGGTACAGTTCATACAAATTTGATTATGAGTTGCAGTAAATAAAAATGGGATCAGAAGAGTATGCTAATAGAGGGTCCACTGTATTTTAAAAAGTGGTAACCTGACAGTAAGGAAGAATATATAAAATATAATAAATAGAAACATTGAAAAGCATAATAGTACAGGGCTATTTATTTAATGAAGAGACAGTAGGTTTTAATCACTCATAAGGGTTTCCTTCCTGAAAGCCTTGAGGTGCTAAAGTAATTACTGATTTTTAACAAAATAGTTATACATGCCATAACCATGCTTATAGATCTTTATATAAACATATATTTAAGCTATTTTTTCTTTACAGCGTATACATGATACATTTTCATTTGTGTTTTCTACTGCAATTAATCTACATATTTTCCTTGTTGAGAAAATAAAAAATTGTATATTTTATTTTGCATTACCAGCCAGATGCTAGAATGCCAAGGTCTAATAGCACAGACCTCATTGCTGTATTTTGTATGCCTTCAGCTTTATCTTTTTAAAGACTTTATTTTTGTAGAACAGTTTTAGGTTTACAACAGAGTTGAGAGGAAGGTACAGTTTTTCCCACATACCCCCTGCCCTCATACACGCATAGTCCCCACCCTTATCAACGTCACTCACCAGAGTAGTCCCTTTTTTTTTTTTTTTTTTTTTTTTTTTTGAGCCAAGGATGAACCTACATTGACACATCATGATCAAAGTCTCTAGTTGATGTTAGGGTTCACTCTTAGTGTTGTAGATAGATTCTATGGGTTAGGACAAATATGTGTTAACATATATTCATTATTAGTGCCCTAAAAAATTTTTTGTGCTCTGCCTATTCCTCTCTCTTTTCTCTCTCCACTGGCCACCATTGATCTTTTTGTCACCAGCGTTTTCCTTTTCCAAAATGTCATATAGTTGGAATTCCCATAAACCTTAATACAGGAGCAAACATTTACTGAGTACCTACAATGTACTATGTTTATGTTGGGTATAGAAATAAACAAGAGTGCCCTGGCCAGTTTTGCACAGTGGTTAGAGTGTCGAATCCTGGACTGAAGGGTCCCAGGTTCGATTCTGCCCTAGGGCACGTACCTTGGTTGCAGCCTTGATCCCTGGCCCAGGTAGGGGCACGTGTGGGAAGCAATCAATCGATGTGTGTCTTTCACATTGATGTTCGTCCCTCCCTCCCTCCCTCCCTCTGAAAGGCAATGGAAAAAATATCTTCAGATGAAGATTTAGAGAAAACAAACATGAAAATAATCAATGTAGCCCTGGCTGATATGGCTTAATGGTTACAATGCGGGCCCGAGTTCCGAAGGTCACGGGTTCAATCCCCAGCCCTAGGCGGGGCACATGGGGAAGGCAAAGAAAATAATATAGAGATACAATGGAGGTTTGTGTAGAGCAGCAGTTTTCAACCTTTTCTTCTCATGGCACACATAAACTAATTACTAAAATTCTGTGGCACACCAAAAATATAGTTTTTGCAAATCTGACAAAAAACAATAGATATAATTTTGATTGATTTATTAAAAAGTAATAGTAATTCCCCTTTTTGTTCCAAAGGGACTTTTAAAAAATCAGGTGTTGGATGTAGGGGTGATCTGGCTGTGACATCTGTCACCCCATTGATCACCAGGGTTGATTTGGCTGATCTGGCTGTGTAGGGAGGCCAGTGTCCCCTTCTTCCCTCACCAACCCATGTGCTTCCCTCCCAAAGTTGTGTGCTTAGTAGAAGAGGATGACTTCCCCCCCAGAGGAGAGGATTGGTCTTTGGTCAAGGGTATAGGAGTAGCTGTGCTCCTCTATTAGAACCTCCAAACAAGCTCTTGGGTTTATTTGTAGGGTAGTGAAGCTTCCAGGACTCCAGACACATCCAAATGAGGCACTGCACGTGGCAGTCTGCCTTTTTTTTCTTTTCTTTTTTAAAATATATATTGATTTCAGAGAGAGGAAGGGAGAGGGAGAGAGAGAGAGAGAGTGAAACATCAATGATGAGAGAGTCACTGATCGGCTGCCTCTTGCACACCCCCAGCTGGGGATCGGGCCTGCAACCCAGGCATGTGCCCTGACCGGGAGTCGAGCCATGGTCTCCTGGATCCTAGGTCTATTCTCAACCACTGAGTCACGCCCGGCCGGGCAGTCTGCCTTTCTTAAAAAAAAAAAAAGTCAGGTGCCTATATTTGTTGTGTATAAGGATTTCTGGTACGAAGAATTAACCAATCAGATGCAGTCTTATTATGCAGAGTTGCATGACCAATAAGATACAACTCTATTATAGGAGCCTTGTATTTATGGTTCAAGACAGGGCATTCATACCAGACGGCTATTGTTGTGTTGGCTGTTGTCATTTTTTTGACAATCTAAGGGAAAAGAGGTCAGTGCCCCTCTTAAAACATTGCATGTTTTAAAAAATCTTGCACCTCTCCCTTTGAAAATCGCTGGCCTAGAACATTATAGCAAGCTCATATGTAGGACTTTACAACCAACTTTGGAGAGTTCAGAAGATGTTTCCAAGGAAATAACACATACTTAAGGAGTGAGTAGTGATTAACTAGACAGGAAAGGGGAGTGAGGAAGAGGACATTTCAGATCTAAGAGAGATTATTGTTCCCCCCCCCTTTTTTTAAAAATATATATTTTTTTATTTCAGAGAGAGGAAGGGAGAGAGTGAGAGAGAGAGAAACATCAATAATGAGAGTCACTGATCGGCTGCCTCCTGCATGTCCCCCACTGGGGATCAAGCCCACAGCCCGGGCATGTGCCCTGACCGGGAATCAAACCTCGATCTCCTGGATCATAGGTCAATGCTCAACCGCTGAACCACGCTGGGTGGGCCTATTGTTTCCCCTTTTGTGAACAGAGACAAAGGTTTTTGATTCAGGTATACTATAAGATTTGAGCCTCAAATTTTTTTTGGTATAGTATATAGTATTGTAGTTTAGTATCTTATTTTCCCCTAACCCTGTAATATTGTTTATTTTGGAGAATTTACAAGCTTTGCACATATAGTCTATTATTTAATTGGATGCTGCATGTCTATAGAACTTCATCTCTTCCTTGATTTATTTGTTTCTTCATAATTGTCATTTGCTATTTTAATATTGCCAAGCTTAATATTTTGTTGCCTGGAGCAACAAAAATGAAAAATACTCTGAAGAGTAAATTGGGTATTTTATTTTAATTTTGTTGGAGGGAGACTTCAGCCCTTCGTTAGCCCCAGATTTTCTTAGCCAGTAGCAGCTCCTATGATGCCTCAATATCATGGTAGTGATAGACTATTGATACATATTAGACATACTGCCTATGTGTATGTCCTGTATATATGTGTACACACAGAATTGTTTGTGTTTTGAGATAAGAGCCACCTGGCTATGGAGAGATAACTATTTATTTTTCAAGTCCTTTTTGTCTTTCTACCATTAAACATTCTGACATCATGAGCTCCCTCCAGGCTCATTTTGATATTGTGGAGCTAGTTAATAGCCCTAAAGTCATATCTCTGTCTAGGTCAGTGCTCTTTTGTGGACAGGGGAATATGGATCATAACTTTATCCTAGAAGAAAACCTTATTTAGAAAATGATCTTGCCCGGCCGGGCGTGGCTCAGCGGTTAAACGTCGACCTAGGATCCAGGCGATCAGGGTTCGATTCCCAGTCAGGGCACATGCCCGGGTTGCGGGCTGCAGCAGATCAGTGACTCTCTCATCACTGATGTTTCTATCCCTCTCTCTCCCTCTCCTTTCCTCTCTCTGAAGTCAATAAAGATATATTTTTTAAAAAAAAGAAAAAAAAAGAAAATGATCTTAAGAAATCAGGCTCAATTGTATGAAAGTATACCTAGAGCAGTCAAATTTATAGAGAAAATAGAGTGGTTGTTGCCAGGAGTTGGGGAAAGGGGAATGAGGAGTTATCGTTTAAGGGTTACAGGGTTTCAGTTCTGTGCTTTTTGAAGATGAAAAAGTTCTGGAGATGGGTGATGGTGACAGTTGCACAGCATCACAATGCTTTTGCAACATGTGAATGTCCTTAATGTTATTGAACTGTACACTTAAAATGGTTAAAATGGTAAATGTTATGTAATGTGTATTTTACCCAAATAAAAAAAGTTTAAAAAACTGGAAGTATTTACTAAATGCACATAACTTTCTCTCTGATGTAATTTTTTAACTCAGTTTATTCCAAGTTCCAAAATGTGAAGAAATTAGCCTCTAATCACTAAAAAATAAAGTTGTATTCTTTTAAGCTAACTCAGAATCTTTTATTTAAATCTCTGAAGTACATGCTATATTGTATTTTTTTACCACTTGCAGAGAGCTTGGTTCGTTACTCAGATCAAAATGACTTTTAAGGGTATTCATGAGTTAAGCAGGTCTTTAAACAGAAGTGACCCATTCACTTTATTCTCAGGATGCTCTGACCTATTCTTCCAGGTGGCTTACAGTGTGGAGAGTTATCAGGCTTGAAGCAAATAAATTATTTCAAATAATAATGCTTCAAAATAAATATTTATCCTCTATAAGACTGAGAAAAATTGTAGGCAGTGTTTTCTGACATTGATGTGTAAATGAGTTTTATAATCTCCTAAATTAGAATTAAATATATACACTTAACATTTTATAGTTAGTTATTTTGTAGGTATTAAAATATTTTTTATCCTTTTTTTATAACTAAAATTCTTTATAAAGATATTCCTCCCCTAACCTATTTCTTTTCATAAATGGAAGTGTGAAAATTGTGTTTTTACTTTTAAAAAAATTGTATCAGTTGGAAATATGTTATCATCCATTGATGTTTATAATTGAACTAGTATGGTACTTATATTATTAAGTAAAGGATTACTTTCTCCCCTTATGTTTTATATGGGCAGTATTATCTTTGTAAATTACTGTATTTTATGTTATAATAAAGTTGTCTCTATCTCTTTTTAGGATATTTTCTTTTCTGGATGTTGTTACCTTGTGTCGCTGTGCTCAGGTCTCCAGGGTAAGAATGGTTAGAGGGGTACCCTTGCCTGACACTGAAAATAATCAGTTTTTGTAGTAGGGGAACTATTTACTTGAGATGTTAGTTGTATGTATTCTCTTGACTGGGAATCAAACCCACAACCCTTGGTATTCTCGAACCACCGAGTCACGCTCGCCAGAGTATAATTAATTTATTTTTTAAAAAACAGACTCTGGAAGGAAACTTGTTATTCCAAGTTTTAGTCTCAGTTTGGCATGTTTCCTGTTGCTGGAGAAAGTAGTATAAAGAAATGGGAAATATCAAACCAAATCAGAGGTATATTTAGCCCAAGAATTGAGTAAACATATGAACTGTAAAAGTTTTATCTGTTGTCTCTTATGGCTAGCCATTTAAGAAACCATTGGAAAAAGATGAAGATACAAAAAGAAAAGTAACATTGAACTCCTGAGGAAACTAAAGATTTCTAGAATAATAACTTTGTTTATTTTCATATCACTGACTTATTTCTTGCTGATTGTGTGACAGTTATCCTGGGATCAATAAGTGTATCCACAATTTTAAAAAATTTTTTCAGTACCAAATCTGTGTTTTTATTGTTAGAGATGATATTCTAAGTTTATAGCTCAACAATATTAAGACTTTCGTTTACACTTTAAACTCAATAGGGAAACCTTTTAAAAGCTTTCTAATTAAAATACAGAATGATCCACAACAAATTAACTCAGTCATTTTTCACCTAATCCTGAAAAGTTGAAAAGCTTAGAAACTTTCTTGCCTCCTGTTAGCTTACTAAAGAAATATATGAGAAGTCTCAGACTTTCACTGTTTTGCAATTATCACTGAATCAAGTTCGAGGGAAAGATGACCAATTGAAAAACATGCATGAGTGAGCAAATTGGTAATGAGGAAAGCATTAAGGCTCTATCAGGTATACAGAGAAATGATACTGTCTTTTCTAAGCCCCAGATCACCATATCACAGTTTCAAGTCCGACCAAGTGATGCTGTGGATAGCACATAGATATTGAGCATAGCAATATTCAGAGTACTGTTTTTTTTCTTTGGTTTCACCTCATCTTGATCCTTGTTGAGGGATAGAGCAACAGACTTGCTTTTCATCAGCTGAGCTATGCCATTTTGGGATGAGAAACTAGAATCTTCCAGTTAGAAAACAGTCTCTGGCTATGATACTTATTAGAGCCTGTCCTTTCCCCAAGCCCCTAAGATGTTCTGTAGCTGCTAGATTCTGTACCCACTCATTTATGAGATAATCTAATTGGAGAATAAAATATGAATAAGAAGGCAGACTTATTGGGAGTTAATGGTGGGGGGCTGAGAAATGTTTTGATCAAGTTCAATCATTAGTAGATTGAATTGTAAATGCAAATATTGCTAGTTTTTCCCCTTTGTTTCAGCTCCTGCTCATTGTTTCTTTTTCTTCAAAATAGGCCTGGAATGTTCTGGCTCTGGATGGCAGTAACTGGCAGCGAATTGACCTGTTTGATTTCCAGAGGGATATTGAGGTATAATTATGTGGTGTGTGGCCCCATTTCTCTTGTTAGAATATAATTACAGCATGGAACAGATTAGCCCAACCATATAAATCTCCTTTCCCTGGAGAGACAGACTATTACTTTTAGTGCATATGAACTTCATAGAAGCCTATAATGTTCCCAAGAACTTATTTTTGAGTTTTTGAGAATGAGCAGAATTATTTTATTGAAATAATATTAATTTGTTTGTATTAATAGGACCAAAATTTTTTTTTAATTTTCTCTGGTGGAAATATGAACCTATATTTGTTCATTTTAGGGAAGTCTTTTTATAATTTTTTTTAATTGAAGAATCAGTCAAGTTAACTTGTTGGGGTATGATATTTACATAAGTTCTTCTTGAAATGAGCATTTTAGTTCTTGGAAAGCCTATAGGTAGTTTTTGTGGAGCATGAAAAAAGAAAAAGTCAAAGTCATTTATTGAATTATTTTTGCTGGAGGGAGACTTTCTTTTTCCCTTCTCACTTCTCCCCATATTTTATCTCTTAGTATTGCCTATTATTTCTAAAATGGAGAAGCGTAATGGCTTAAGCTTAAATTATTTTAACCTCAATTTGATCTCTGTGGTCTCATCAAAAGAGTGGAAATAATAGATTCCTCATTGTGTTTTAAGGATTAAGTGAGATTTAGATTTAAAATATTTTTATGTTTTAAATATATTTTTATTGATTTCAGAGAGAGGAAGGGAGAGAGAGAAAGATAGAAACATCAATGATGGGAGAGTCGTCATTGATCAGCTGCCTCCTGCACGCCCCTGACTGGGGATCGAGCCCGTAACCCGGGCATGTGCCCTGACCGGGAATCAAACTGCAGTCCCCTGGATCCTAGGTCGATGCTCAACCGCTGAGCCACACCCAGCTAGGTAAAAAAAAAAATTTTTAAGTTCCAGTGGAGCTTAATTGTCTTGCAGATCCATGTAAGAAGTTTTTTAAAAGCATTACATGAACCTTCCATTATCTTTAAAAGTGCTTTTAAAATAATACCTACTGACATTAAGTTGGTTTTATATTTTTCACAATTCTCTAATCTTCATGGAAGTGAATGTTTAAAGCAGCATTGGCCTACGCAGTCAGCAAGCTTCTGTTGTGTTCATTGAGTTTCTGCTGTAGTTAGAATACTGTAGTAAACACTTTGGAAAGGATACCGAAATAGTCGAGTTAATATCTTTCAGTAGCTGCAGTTTAATCAGGAGGGCAGTCTACCTTATTATAGACATACTTCCATAGATGTACATCTTAGTATAGGCGTAAAAGAACTGCAGAGCACCATTTCCTCAAATACAGAATATCTTAAAAATTGAGTAAAATAAATAGCAATATAGGGTTTAGGCATGTTTCAACTAGATGTGTTAATCAGGAAAGCTTTTTCACGGTAGTTGAAACTTTCCTGTTGAACTAATAACTAAGACTTTAACCGAGTAGAAGCATCTTTGTTTATGAATGATTAAAGTGAGGGCCTGCCTCTTTGTTTGCCTGTCTCACAGGGCCGGGTCGTGGAGAATATTTCAAAACGGTGCGGGGGCTTTTTACGAAAGCTGAGTCTGCGTGGGTGTCTCGGAGTAGGAGACAATGCACTACGGTAAGAGCATAACTATCCAGTAACTGATCTTCCTGACCGAAGTAAAGACAGCACCATCTCATCCAGAAAAGATGAAAATGGCTTTAAGCTTTTTATAAAGAAACTTAGAGCTTTCTTCAGGCTATTCTGAACCCAAATACACACATATTGCTTGTAACACAAAGATACCCAGTAGTGAGGTCTGTGGTCTTGGGAGTAAAACAAGCACAAGTGCCCCCTCAAAAAGAGCCAAATTTCCCATGTCATAAATAGTTGTAACCCTTGAGGAAATTTTGTTTGTTTACTCAAAGTTAAGGTAATTTTAACTTTGGTTGTCAAAAAGATCAGTGTTAAGAGTGTATGATTGAAAACTAATTTATTTGTAATTGTGAACTACTTTTGTACCAATATCCAATATTACCAACACAATATATATCTTTTATTACTTTTTAAATATCAGAATTGTGTCCATTTCATTTCAGACTTTTTACTTTGTTTCTTTCCTATAAAGGACCTTTGCACAAAACTGTAGGAACATTGAAGTACTAAATTTAAATGGGTGTACAAAGACTACAGATGCGTAAGTATTTTGTGTTTTAGAAGGGTAAGTCATATCCCCTTGTGTCTTGCCTATACAGGCTTTAAATGCATGCTACTAAGTCCATTTAGCAAATTTCATTTTGGTTTATAGAAGAAAGATACTTTAAAAGGAGGAAGTGATATTAAAGTAGAAATGAAATAAATTTATTTTGGAATCTGTACCAAATCCTATCTTGATCTTTTAAGTGAAACTTAAAAATTACAGTCAATGAATAATCGATAGGGATAATAATGATATACATTACTAGGACAACTTATATTTCAAGAAGATACTAGTAGCTATCATTCAAAGGGCACAGTAAACAGATCATTCTATAAAAAGATGTAAAATCTTAAACATGGGACTAAACATTATGATAATATTGAAAGCGTTTATTAAATGATTGAATGTACTGTGTTTGTGTTGGTCACAGTATAAAAGAAATAAAGCCTGTTCCTTTAACCTTGAGAGTTTATCATTGCACACACGGTAGGTAGACACATCAAAGGTAGACATAAAAAAGCCCAAGAATATCTTTTGGTAATAACACGTATCAAATAACATTTAAATATTATGTAGGGAAATTGTTGTCTATTATGAGGTGAAGTGAAGCCATTTAAGAAGCATGCTTTCACAGCAAAGGGCCAGGATTATTCACTGAATCTTCCTATTCAAAAAGTCCTCATAAAAGAGATGGTGTTTTTAGAATTGCTTGAATGAAGGAAAGTGGAAGGCATGCCAAGCACAGGGTACACATTATTTATTTATTTATTTGAGGTCACAACATTGTTCACGTTTTTCTTTTCTTTTTTTAAATATGTCTTTATCGATTTCAGAGAGAGGAAGGGAGAGGGGGAGAGAGAAATAGAAACATCAATGATGGGTCATTGATCAGCTGCCTCCTGCACGCCCCCCATAGGGTTCGAGCCTGCAACCTGGGCATGTGCCCTGACTGGGAATCGAACTGCAATCTCCTGGATTCTAGGTTGATGCTCAACTGTTGAGCCACACCGGCTGGGCACATTGTTCACTTTTAATGTAAGAAAGTGTTTGAAAGATAGGGACTGTGGTTACTAGTTGATTCTATTAACAATTATTATTCCTATGGATTGATTTGGAAATCTTTAATAGGAGAGACAATTTACTAACTCCTCCCCCAACCATTACTTTATACTAGTAGCCTAACATTTACTTTAGGTAAATAACCTGGTGGTTTTTTCCCTTTGAATACTTAATGTTATAGAGATTAAGAATTTGAGCCCGGCCGGGCGTGGCTCAGTGGTTGAGCATTGACCTAGGATCCAGGTGATCAGGGTTCGATTCCCGGTCAGGGCACATGCCCAGGTTGTGGGCTCGATCAATGACTCTCTCATCATTGATGTTTCTAACTCTCTCTCCCCCCTCCTTTCCCCTGTCTGAAATCAATAAAGATATATTTAAAAAAAAAAAAAAAAAAAAAAAAATTTAAAAATAAAAAAAAAAAAAAAAAAAAAGAATTTGATCACTTGGCATCTAAAAAGTGACATAATTTACATATTTTTCTAGGAATTTATATACTATAGATACACTGGCAAAAATATGATGATTTATATCTGACTCTTCATTTTTACTGTTTGTAATACAAATACTGCATTATTCTTAATAGCAAATGACAGAAAATTCAGATGTCTATCAGTAGAGGACTGGTCAAAAAAAGAAATGAGGAGAATCTTTTTATAGTACTCTGGAGTGATTGCCAGGGCATATTGTTAAGAAAGCAACCTGCAGAGGAATTTGTATAATAAGACACCTTTTGTTAGGGCCAGGGGATATAATACAAATATATATCCATATTTATTAATATTTTATAGAAGAAACAATGGAAAGGTAATAAAAAACTAATAAAAGTGGTTACTTATGGGGGAGAGAAAACATGAAGAGACAGGAATGAAAGGGAGACCTCTGAAGTATCATGTTTTGTACTTTAATAGCCATGTAAATGTTTTACATAATTAAAGCATGAATTAAGCTAGAAAGAAATCAAAGCAGTCCCTAACAGTTGAAAACAAAACACATGAACCCAGCCATATCAAATTGGAGCTATAACCACCAGAGAGAAGTTAAGTTACTTCTACTGACTTGACTTCTTAGGACAAATTTTAAGCATATACTAAAGTAGACAAAATTGAACCCATCAGCCATCTTCAAATTGATAATTGAGAAATTATCACTTTCTGGCTAGTCTTGTGTCATCTTGCCCCCTCATTTTATCTTATTTTGAAAAACATCCTAGACATATTTTTTAATCACTAAGAATGCATGTCTAAAAGTTAGACTTTTTTTAAACCTTTTTTTTTTAAATATGTCTTTATTGATTTCAGAGAGAGGAAAGGAGAGGGAGAGAGAGAGAGAGAAATGTCATTGATGAGAGAGTCATTGATGGGCCGCCTCCTGCACGCCCCCGACTGGGGATCAAGCCCAAAACACTGGCATGTGCCCTGACCGGGAATCGAACCCTGATCGCCTGGATCCTAGGTTGATGCTCAACTGCTGAGCCACACCCGGCCGGGCTAAAAGTTAAAGACTTTTAACAAAAGCATATTAACTTTGTCACACCTATGAAAAAAAATTTAATATCTTAAAATCAAATAACTCCTGGTTGGTGTTCAGATTTTTGCATGTTCTAGTAATTTTAGGAACACAATAGTTTAAACATAGTATAAAAGAAAACGATACAGCACGGTTGGACGTGGCTCAGAGGTTGAGCATCGACCTAGGATCCAGGTGATCAAGGTTTGATTCCCGGTCAGGGCACGTGCCCCGGTTGTGAGCTCAATCCCTAGTAGGGGGCGTGAAGGAAGCAGCCGATAATGATGACTCTCATCATTGATGTTTCTCTCTCTCCCTCTTCCTTCCTCTCTCTGAAATCAATAAAAACATATTAAAAAAAGAAAAAGATACAAACTTTAAGAATCAAAGATGAAGCCCTGGCTGGTGTGGCTGTTTGTTGGGCATCATCCCGTGCACCGAAAGGTTGCCAGTTCCTTTCCTGGTCAGGGCACATGCCCATCTGGATCACTGGTGAGGGGCGTGCAGGAGGCAGCCCATCAGTGTTTCACTCTCACATCAATGTTTCTCTCTCTCCCTCAAAATCAGTAAAAAATCTTTATTAAAAACCCCATACAAAATTAAACACCCATTAATGATAAAGTCTCTAAAGAAACAAGGAGAAGGTTAACTTGTTTAACCTGATAAATTGTATACAATCATGTGCTGGTTAAGGACAGGGCTACATTCTGAGAAATGCGTTATTAGGCTGTTTTGTCATGCAAACATCATAGAATGTACTTTCACAAACCTAGATGGTATCACCTATTACTGTAGTTATATGCGCTATACTTTCATATGGCTTGCCGAGCAGTAGGTTTCTTTATACCAGCATCACAACAAACACATGAGTAATGCCTTGCACTATTATGTTACAGTGGCTAAAGTGTCACTAGGCAATAGTAATTTTATAGCTCTGTATAATTTCAATTCGACCACCATAATGTAGCTCATTGTTGACCAAAACATTATTATTTGACTCAGGGCTATATATGGAAAACCTACTGCTAACATATTTAATCATAAAAGACAAGTGAACACCTTCCCCCCAGGTCAGGAACAAGGCAAAGATATCAGGTCTATCACTTCTATTCAGCATTGTGCTGGAAGTTCACCTAGTACAATAAAGGAAGAAAAAAAGGAGGGGCATGCAGACTGGAAAGTAAGAAATAAATGGCATGATAAGGTTCTAGCAACTTCACGGGAAACACGGCCAATATGCAAAAATCAATTATATGGCTATATATCAGCAATGAACCATTGAAAAAAATTTAAATATAATATCTATGATAAGTAACATTCAAGAACATAAAATACTTAAGGATAAAGTTAATAAAAATCTGTGAAGTCATGTACACTGAAACCAGGCTTTTAAAAAATTAAAGAAAAGTAGATCTTAAAAGCTGTATGTGGTGATTTGTAATATATACATATATTGAATCATTTTGTTGTATACTTGAAACTAATATAATATTATATATTATATATCAATTCTTTAAAAGTTTTTGCATATAAAAAAGGGAAAGTATGACCCTGGCCAGTGTGGCTCAGTAGTTAGAGTGTTGGCTTGTGCACCGAAGGCTTGAGGATTCAATTCCTGGTCAAGGGCGTGTACCTGGGTTAATGGTTTGCTCCCTGTCCCCTGTTGGGGCGCATGTGGGAGGCAACCAGTCTGTGTGTTTCTCTCACATTGATGTTTCTCTCTCTCGATCCCAGTAGAGGGTGTGCAGGAGGCAGCCAATCAATGACTCTCATCATTGATGTTTCTGTCTCTCTCCCTCTCCCTTCCTCTCTCTGGAATTAATAAAGACATATTTTTTTTTTAAAAAGTGAGGAGTTGATAGCAGAAAATTTCACACAAATTTTATAAAAAGCAATAATCAACAGATCTAAGAATAATGAACTACAGAAGGATAAAAACAAATATTCAACACCCGAACAATTAGAGCCAAACTGTTAAAAACTAAAAGCAGAAAATTTGGAAAGCAGCAAGAGGGAAATAACTTATGTACAAGGAAGGAATATACGATTAGTGGGTGACCTAATCAGAAACAATGGAAATCACAGCCATGTGACATGTTTAGTGTGCTGAAGGGGGAGGGGGGCAAGAATTTAAGAATTTTATATCTAGCAAAACTGACTTTTTAAAATGAAGGCAAAATAATGACATTTCCAGCTAAACAAAAATGGAGAGAATTTGTTGCTAGCAAATGTGCCTTGCAAAAATACTAAAGAAAGTCCTTCAAGACAAAAGGAAACAAATACTAAACAGTAACTTAAATCCATAGGAATTAGTAAATGAAGAGCACCAAAAATGGTAACTGGGTAAGTCTAAAACTATAGTTTTCTCATATCTTCTCTTTTTTATATGGTATAAGATTATATAAAGCAATAATTATAACATCGCTAGGTTTATAACATATAGAAGTAATATATGAAGTATTTTTGAACATAGGAAAATAATAACAGGGAGGGAGGAAGGAATGGTGGTATATTGACGCAAAATGCCTGTTTTGTGAGAATTAAGGTATTGTTTTGAAATAGATTGTAGTAAATTAAGATGCATATTGTAATCCGTGAGCAAACTAAGAAAAAAACTCAAAAAAGTAAAACATTAACAGAGGAGTTGAAATGATACACTTAACACAAAAAATCAGTAAAGGAGAAACAGAAAAACAATAAAAGCATGTAACAAATAGAAAAAGATAGTAAAAAATGGGAGACAAAAAGCCAGCCATATCAATTCTATTTAATGTGGACAGACTGAACACTTCACCCAAAAAACACATTGTCAGTATGGATTAAAAAGCAGGACCCAACTGTATACTTTCTACAAGAGGCATACTCTGGATTCGAAGACAAAAATAGGTTGAAAGGAAACATGGAAAAATGCATACTATGCAAATAGAACACTCCACCCAGTGGTTACAGAATAAAGATTTCTTCCTAACAGACTTTTTGGAACATTCTGCAAGATAGAACATAAATTGGGCCACTAAACAAGCCTTAATAAACTTAAGAAGATTAAAATTATATAAAATATGATCTCTGACCAGAACTAGAGAAATAAACTAGAAATTCACAATAGAACAAAATCTGAGAAAACCCCAAGTATTTGGAAATTGAGGAACATGCTTCTAAATAACCCATTAAAGACAAAGATCACGAGAAATTTTTTTAATATTTTGAACTGGGTGAAAATGCACTATCAAACTTACAGGATGCAGTTAAAGCAGCGATATAGCTCTTAATTCTTATATCAGAAAAAAGGAGAGAAAAGTTCAAGGCAGTAACAACCTTCAACATTAAGAAATTAGTAAAAGAAGAGCAAATTAAGCCCAAAGCAAGCAGAAGGAGGAAATAATGTGCATTGGCTATCAATGAAATAGAAAACAGAAAAATAGTAATAAAATTAATTAAACCAAAAGCTTGTTCTTTGGAAAAAATTAATAAAGTTGGCATACTTAGACTAAGAAAATAAGGATTATTGGGATATCATAATTATACTAACAAATTAGACAACTCAGATGAAGTGGACAAATTCCTGGGAAAGCACCAATTACCAAATGTAACTCAAGAAAAAATAGACAATCTGAATAGGTCTTCAACAAATAAATTCAGTGAATAATTTAAAATTATCCTACGAAGAGCCCTGGCCTGTGGGGCTCAGTTGGTTGAGTGTAGTCCCATGCACCAAAGGTTTGATTTCCAGTCATGGCACATACCCAGGTTGTGGGTTTGATCCCTGGTTGGGTTGTGTACCACAGGGAACAGATCAATGTGTCTGTCTCACATTGATGTTCCTCTCTCTCTCCCTCTCCTTCTGCCTTCCTCTCTCTCTAAAATCAATAACGTTAAAAAAAAAATTCCCACAAAGGAAAGCACAGGCCCAGATGACTTGACTGGTGAGTACCATCAAATATTTAAAGAAGAAATAATACCAGGCTTCAAACTCATTCATTAAAAAAAAACCACACCTCATTACTTACTCTATGAAGCCACTATTTTTCTCAATACAAAGCCAGCAAACACAGACATCACAATAAAAGGAACTGATCTATATCCCTCAGGAACAGAGATGCAAAAATACTCAAAAAAATTTTAGCAAACTGAATCAAGCAACATATGAAAGGATTTTGGATCATATCCCATTGGTATTTATCCTAGAAATACAAGTGTAGTTTAACATCTGAAAATCAAATTAATGTAATGTCTCATAATAATTAATAGAGTAAAGCAGGGGTCAGCTAACTTTTTCTGTGTGGGGCCAGATAAATATTTTAGGCTTCCGTTGGCCATGCAGTCTTTGTCACAACTATTCAGCCTGCCGGTGTTTTACAAAAGCAGCCATAGACAACAATACATAAACAAATGAGCATGACTGTGCTCCAATAAAACTTTATTTCTGGGGTGCTGAGATTTGAATTCTATAGAACTTTGACACGTCACAAAATAGTATCTTCTTTTGATTTTCTTTCAACCATTTAAAAATGTCAAAACCATTCTTTTCTTTTTTTAATCCTCACTTGAGGATATTTTTTCCATCGCTTTTCAGAGAGAGTGGAAGGGACAGAGGGACAGAGAGAAACATCAGTGTGAGAGAGACACATCGATTGGTTGCCTCCCACACACGCCCTGACCAGGGCCAGGGATCAAGTCTGCAACTGAGGTATGTGCCCTTGGTCATAATCGAACCCGGGACCCTTTGTCCACAGGCAGACACTATCCACTGAGCCAAACCGGCTAGGGCAGAACCATTCTTGGCTTGTGGGCTGTATAACAGTAGGCAACTGGTGGTGAGGTTTACTGCCCTCTGAAATAAAGAACAAAAGCCACATGATCATCTCAGTGTGATAGGCAGCCTCTAAAAAGGCCCCCAAATAAGTCCTTCCTCCTAATATTCACACCCTTGTGAACATGCATTGGACCTAAGGGCTCATTTCTAGCAATAAAATACTGCAAAAGAGATTGGATGTCGCTTTGGCGATTAGGTTACAAAAAGATTGTGAGTTCTGTCTTGCTCTACTTTTTCTCAGGGCTCTGACTTGAGGGGGAGTGGAGCAGGTTGCCCAGTTTTGAGTAGTTCTGTGGAGAGGCCCATGTGGCAGGGAACTGAGGTCTCTGGCCAACAGCCAGTGAGGACCTGAAATCTACCAAAACCCAAATGAGTGAACTTGGAATTGGATCTTCTGAGGTCTGCCAAAAGCTGTTTAAATGAGGTTGGAGGGGAATCTGTACCCAGTTAACGTTTGAGATGATTGCAAGTTGTGGCCAATACCTTGATTACAGCCTTGTGAGAGACCCTGACTCAGAGGCACCCTGCTAAGCTGCCTGTGCTAGTATTCCTGACCCAGAAAAACCGAGATAATGAATGTTTGTTGTTTTAAGCTGCTCACTTTGGGGTAATTTGTTATGCAACAATAGATAACTAATACATCATTAGATAGAAAAGCACATGACAAAATCCAATACCCATTCATGATAAAAATTCTTGAGGGAGTTTCCTCAGTCTGGTCAAAGGTATCTATGGAAAACTTCCTGCTAACCATCAGACTTAATGATGCAAGACTGAATGCTTCACGCTAAGGTCAGAAGCAAGGATGTTAACTCTTGTCATTTCTATTTAGCATTTTTTTGGAAGATTCTATCCAATGCTGTATGTTTATTACAGAATTGCAAAATAAAACCCCAATAGATTATACTCCATACCTGCTAAAATGTCTAATCAAAAAAAGAGACCAATGCCAAGTGTTGGCAAGGATGTGGAAAAACTGGGACCTTCATAGGTTGCTAGTGGGAATCTATAATGGTATAGCCACTGTAGAAAGCAGCTTGGCAGTTTCTTAAGTCAAACATAAACTTAGTATAGGACCTAGCAATTCTACTCCTGGGCATCTAGCCAGAAGAAATGAAAGCATAGGTCCACACAAAAACCTCAGAAACATATCAGCCAAATAGAATGTATGGTTCTTATTTGGATCTTAATATGATCAAGTAAACTTGACAAAGGCATTTATGAGAGAATTGGGAAAACTTAAATATATAGTGGGGATATCAGATATTAAGGATTTAAAGTCCTCTATTAGAAATATGTCCTGAAATATTTACAAGTGAACTATGTCTAGGATTTGCTTTAAAATACTGGAACAAAAAAGGGAAATGGATGCAACAAATAGAATATTGATAAGTATAGAAGCATAATGATGGTACATGTGCTTTCTCTGTTACTTTTGTGTATATTTGAAATTTTTCATAAGTTAAAAAATTAAACTGAGAACTTGACCACTGTGAAAAAAGAGCCTTGAAGAAATTCATAAAGGAAAGTAGGAAGTAATGTACATAACTTAGCTTGTTTCAGCCCAATACTGGTCCATCCTTTGTATTTCTTGCAAAAATCCAATTATTATATTATTACCCTGCAAAAGGTTATCTTGAGCAGAGATTTAAGTGAAAGAGCAGAGACAGGTGCTTTCAGCCTTCATGTCTCACCACTTGCTAGCAGGTACTAGCTTTCTGATGTTCCTGGATTTGCAAAATGCATGTAGATCTTTTATCAGCACATATGCAGTTTGCTCTTAATAGCTATTAACATTTCCAAATGTGAATAAAGTACCATCTTCCCTTTATTCAGATTCTCGTACACATCACAGCCTTTCTTTCCTTTGTAAATGGCACTGGTCTCTTCCTCAATGTGAAAGGATTTATATAATTCCCAGGATTTATAACTGCTTTTATTGGGGGTATGGAAATCTTACAGTTCTTATGTATACACATGTGTTTGATGAGAATCATGTATGATATACTAAGGATGTGTTATTATTATTTGTTTATTTATTATTTTCTCCTTTTTCCATTTTTCAGTACATGTACTAGCCTTAGCAAGTTCTGTTCCAAACTCAGGCACCTTGACTTGGCTTCCTGTACATCAATAACAAACATGTCTCTAAAAGCTCTGAGGTAAATTTCTTATAATAAGATTGTCCAGTAATCAGAACAAATACTTATTTTTTTTAAATTACTGACACAGTTGGAATTGAAGGAAACTGTTTTATGAATATGTACTATAGTTCGAATGGATCTTTTGTTTTACCACTTGCCCAAATTAGAGGACAGGCGAAATGACTAGAGGTAACTAGGATTTCTGAGAGAGTAGTACAATTTATACATCAATGATTAGTTTTTTATGAAGGCTTCCTCCCCTCTCCCTCCAAAAATGACCCATATTATCGCTTAGTGATTAAAGCAGTGCCCTGGAGTGAGATCATTAACCAGGTACCTTGAACAAATGTAACCCTTGTGAGTTTTTCCTCATCATCTCATAGGTTTGTTACTAGGATTAAACAATATTATCATTATTTGATAACATTAAGCCAAACCAGATAAAGTTGCCAATATTCTACCTTTTGTCTTATAAAAATGACAGTTTTATGTGTTTTAACCTAATTCATATAAATTGCTTAGCATGTTGTAAACACTCAGTAAGTTTTAATTGTTATAATGTTAATACATTTAAGTACATTACAGGAAATGTATCTTAAAAGAAAGGTGAAATGCCCATTCTCTTTGTAACTTTACTTTTTATCAGCCTTTTATGGTCCCATATGTTGGTTGCATTTATGAATAGTAAGAATTAAGCTATTAAAGAAGAGTTTGTATATTTAGTTAGAATATAAGTAATCTAAAAATGTGGCTCCTTCTAGACCTTCCTTATAAATATTGAGCACATACACATCTAAGGCTGATTGCTGTATAGGATAATAGGGTAATATAACAACATTTATAGTTTATAAAATATTCACATAAATGATCTCATTTATTTGATAACCTTGTGAGGTAGATATAGCTAGGACAAACACTTTACAGATAGAAAATCTAAAACATTTTTTAATGCCAGGTAATGTGATTCAACCATGGGATGTAACTGAATAAGAAACTGTCGCTGCCCTTCAGTTGCTCAGAGTCTAGTGGGAGGAAAAAAACACTAAACATGTCATCATGTTACAGTGTGGCAGTAGAAGTAATACAGTGCTGTGATAGAAGTAAGTGTGGCAGTTTGGGGAGAACGTGGAAGTGGCTGTGGCTAATCTTGGAATTAATCCAAGGGAGGTTCGGGCAGGCTTCCTGAAGTGACTTAACCTGAAGTCACACTATGAATGTTGAAGAATGAACTTGAACCAAGATTCCCGTGCTTTATTTTATTATTAAAAACAGTTAAATCAGTATTTTCCAAAGAATGTCATAGAGCATTAGATATGAAATCAAAGATCAAAGATGAAGCTAGTATTTGATAGAAGTCAGTGATCAAATACAATATATCTTAAGTTCAGCCTAGGGAAATAGTTCTCTAGATATTTCCCAGATAAGGAATATTTATAGATCCTCTGTAATTTTTTAAATAAAAGTTTAAATGTCTTCGTTAGTACTTTGATAAGTAATAGAATTATTTGATAGAGAATCTGGGTTTAACTCTAAACTCCTTATTAATTACTTGGTCAACTTGAACAAGTCCCTTAATTTTTGTTTCCTATCTAGGGAACTTATAAATATGTGATAAGTGCCAAAAAAATATAATTTGAAAAGTATAAACCTCCTTTAAAATCTAATATATGTGAAAAACAGTATTGTGCTTTGTACTTGTTAGGTAAGCTGGATTTGAGCTAGCCCTCCTAGTAATACAGTTCCACATGAACACCATGAACATTGATAAGACCCACTTTTGTGGTTATGGGAGTGCCTGTGTTCTAAATCTATATTAAGTAAATATGTATATTTTTGTGGGAGAACTTGGGGCTCTATCTATTTCCTTTCTTAATGGCCAATAAAATGAGACTTTGGTGCCTTTGGAGTTGGATTTAGTAATATGTTTGTTTTATTTTGTTCTATCCCAAGTGAGGGATGTCCACTGTTGGAGCAATTGAACATTTCCTGGTGTGACCAAGTAACCAAGGATGGCATCCAAGCGCTAGTGAGAGGCTGTGGTGGTCTCAAGGCCTTATTCTTAAAAGGCTGCACACAGGTAATACTCCATATAGTGCTTGTGAATGGTAGAGAAACTGTAAACTTTGTAGACAACCCCAAGATGTTGGCTTAAAGAATATGTAGTAGTTTTGTATTACTGACCAAAGACACATGTTTACCAAAAATTAGTGTTTTCCTTAGAAGAAGAATTAATATCTGACCAAAGATAAATGTTTTGTTTTGAGGGGAGGCAGGCTGGGGAGACAGAAATACTGCACAAGCACCAATAAGAGTGTCACGCAGTTAAATCTGAAAAGAAAACTTGCGTGTTGTACTTCTGAGACCTTTAACTGGATAGGCAAGGAAGGCGGTCTTGGCAGTTTTCACTAATTTTCAAACCACCGGGAGCTTTTCTTAAATGTGCCAAGTATATAGCAACCTACATTTTATAGTGTTGGTGCTTATTTTCTGCCGGTCACATTACAAATTTAGCACATTTTGTCATTAAAAATATTACTAGAAAGAATTGGCATGAAAATGATCAAGAATAGGTTTAGAAGTGACTCTTACTACCTTGTTTTTTTAATGGTTACTAAAACCATGCCTTGGATTCCACTTAAAATGCCGTCATTTTTTCACCGTGATGGGAGGTGTTCTGTTGTTTGAAACTGAGCTTTGGAAGTATGACTACCTTAAAACAACAGCTTGAGCTCCTGGTTATTTATGGAATCCTGAAAAATATTGATTGGAATACATCATTATAATCAATTACTTGCCATCTGTTCTCATCGCTGTACTCACAGCACTGATCTTCCAGCAGCAGATAAACTGTGGATTACTTTCGCAGCTCCTGCTCCCAAAAATATAGGGAGTGTAGAAATGTGAAAATTCTTTTAACTTCATAAATGCTCAGGAAAATTCTGTAAAGTATATTTATCAGAAGAAAAATCCGCAAACATTAGGCAATGTTTATTTTATCTTTTTCTTGATTTCGTGATAATAAGAATTTGATGTGGTAGAAACTGATAAAAAAAATAAAACATACTGATCATATGAATTACACCTTTATGTGACCATCGTTCATTGTTGTCTTTGGAACTTGGTTGGCTATATTTAGAATGTATTGATGAATGGGTACACTCTGAAATCTTTATCCTTTGAAACAATGTCAGTAATTATTTTCTCTCTCTCTTTTTAATCTTTCTAGCTAGAAGATGAAGCTCTCAAGTACATAGGTGCACACTGTCCTGAACTGGTGACATTGAACTTGCAGACTTGCTTAGTAAGCAGTCCTTTCCACAGCTCTTCTGTATTACTGATTGATTTCTTTATTATTACTGTAAGAGTTTCAGTCATCAAGACCAGTAGTTTTTCCACTTCAACCCTGGGGACACAGTGAACACACAGATGATTCTTTACTTGGTTGACAATACTCACTCTCAGGGACTTTGATATAGATGAGCAGGTAGCTTATTCAGAATTCCAAACAGGCTGACTGTAACCTCATTCTTTTCTACTTAAGAATACTATACTTTTTAGAATTAAATTATTCACAAACTGCAATATTTAAAATATTTTTGGTAAATTAATTGCAGTCACATCTATTAAGATCTATCAGTTGGTCATAACTATTGGGAACCACTGATCTAAACATGATAAGCAAAATGTGCCCTTTAAATTTGATTCAAATAGTATTTGTAGTTCACATTTGTTTCTTTAGAGTTTAGACTATCAACTTTTTTGTATCTTTCCCCAAATTCCTCAATTTTTGTTAGAGAATTTGCTGAAACTATTCAAGGTCCTAGAACATTGGCAGTATACTTTTAGCTTTTCTCTCTTGCCTTGATAAGTACATATGTGTGTGGCTTTGGAGTGAGAGCCTCTCTTAGCAATGAAAAAAGTTGGTGAGGGTTTTCCTTGTTTCTACTAAGCCTTCTGATTATTATACCCTCTCCTTCTTGTTAAACTGCCTAAAACCTGAGAGCAGAGTGGTGGTTTAGTTTAAAGGTGATACTTTTGTTTAAAGCTGCCACATTTTGTGCAGTTTAAGCAACTTGCCCTTCTAGTCCTTACAGGGTGATGCTTCCTGATAATGATCTGCTTTTAAGGCTTCTGGCTTCTGGAGACCGAGTTAAAGGAATGACATTCTTTTTAATTCTGATTGCCATAGCTGCTAACTACCAGAATTTGCCTAATTTCATTTATGAAACAAATTTGGCCTCAGAGAAAGAGCTTATACGACTATTGTAAACATCAAACCATCATCTTACAATGATAGGATAAACCTTTTCTTGGGCATCTTCAGATTTTACTTATATACGTATACACATACACATTCTGTGTATATGTGTGTGTGTATGTTGCATACACTTTTGCTTGCACACATGAATGCATATATACTGTACCTACTATTTACCATTTTAGTTTCATTTCCTTTACCTTTCCAGCAGACAGAAATCACAGTTGATAAGCATGAAGAACCAGTTCTCTCATGTGTTTATTTTACTGTTTCCCTTCACCTGGTTATTAGGACAGGAGTCACTCCTTTGTCACTCCTTCCATACAGTGTGATGAAATGTGGTTGTCAACATTCATGAGACTTCATGTTCTTGCCCAAATTGAAGTAGCCAAAGTACATTCTTGATCCATTCTCTTTTTCTTAACTAATTTGAAAACAGAAAAGTTTAGTACATTTTGCTCTTTTTAAAATTTAAAGTAACGGTAGTATGACTTAACTTTTCTTCTCTCTTCTTCCTCAGTAATTCCTTATAGACTTTAAAACATTAAAAAGGATTTATGAACTAATGCCACCTCGACAAATTCAATAAAAAATTTTTAAAAATTTAAAAAGGAAAAAACAGTACAGTCCTGCAATACTTTCCTAATACTGTGTAACACAAATTCCATTGGCCTGCTAAATATTCATGTGTATTGATTGCTCTTCCCCCTTTACATTTCACTTTTCCTTGTTTAATAATAATAAATCACATTCGTGTGGCACTTTTTTAGGTTCTTCGACGTGTGTATATACCTCATTAATTTATCCTTATGACAAATCTTGTATCTGCCTTAGCATCCATATTTTATCTGTATTTTGTTTCATTTGTACAATATTGAGAAAATACTGATTTAAGCAGTAGCTTTTTTTTTTTTTAGATTTTATATATAGGGTTGGGGTTTTTTTTCTTTTTGTTCAGTCCCCCCACCCCACCCCCACCAGAGCTGTCTGCCTGCTCTCTATGAGTCTGTCTCTATTTAAACAGTGATTATTTAAAGGTTGTTTTTTTTTCGGTAGTCCTTGCAATCCAAGGACACTGATTAAACAGAGGTGACAGGAAAGCTGTTCTGAGGCTTACTTAAAATTAGTGAATCTAGCAGGACAAATTGAAGTTCTGGTTATATCTGGTCATATCCAACATGTTAAGATGTTTATACATGTCTTTTTAAATCCTCGCCTGAGGACATGCTTACAGAGAGGAAGAGAGAGAGAAACATCAGTGTGGGAGAGAGACATCAATGGGTTGCCTTCTATATGCTCCCCAATTGGGGATCAAACCTGCATCCCAGGCATGTGCCCTGATCTGGAATTGAACAGGTGACCTTTCAGTGCACGTGATGATGCTCAACCAACTGAGCTAGTCTGGCTGAACATGACTTTTTTTTAATGTAACATCTTTATTCTTTTTCATATTAAAATAATTTGAAACATACAAAATTATATTTGAATTGGACACAACTGTTTATCTCCATAATTTAAAATATTATTTATTAGAAAACAAAAATATAGAAATAAATGGATCTGTCGTTGATATGAGATTGCAACTGTCATCCATAGGTGGTTTTATTTTTTTAGTAACACAGTATCAATTTTGAACTTGTTAATATGTTTATACTGTTAAAATACTGCCATTCTTATTTGTTTTCTAGGTTTTAAAACTAGTTAATTGAATCTACACGATGATACACCCCGTGCTGTTCCCAATCAGGTTAAAAAAATCCCATTATAGCTTCTTCCCTTTATCCCCAAAATGAGCACAGATTCTCTTGCAAACTATATCAAAGAAACTGGAAGGAAGGAACAAATTGTGTTCATTTTCTTTTAGGCCTGCTACCTGATAAATATTAAATCTGCTTTTATTTCTTTTTCGTTCTTATTTTCACAGAGGTAACATTTTTTTCCTTTTTTTTGTTCTGCTAAGTTACTAATATCTATGGGGATTTTTTGCTCTTGTTTTTTAGCAAATCACAGATGAAGGTCTCATTACTATATGCAGAGGGTGCCATAAGTTACAGTCCCTCTGTGCCTCCGGCTGCTCCAACATCACAGATGCCATCCTGAATGCTCTAGGTCAGAACTGCCCACGGCTTAGGTAAACATTTCTTTTCTTTTTTAATTTATTCGTTTTTTTAGAGAGAGAGGGAAGGAGGGAGAGAGAAAAAAGCATCGATTTATTCCAGTTACTTATGCATTTATTGGTTGATTATTTTTATTTTTTTATCCTCACATGAGGATATGTTTATTGATTTGAGAGAGAGAGGGAGAGAGAGAAAGAGAGAGAAATACCGATGTGAGAGAGAAACATCAGTTGGTTGCCTCCCGTACACATACTGTCTGGGGATCAAACCCACAACCTAGATATGTACCCTGACCGGAAATTGAACCCACAACTTTGGTGTATCGTGATGATGCTCTAACCAACAGAGCTACCCGACGAGGGCAATATTTCTCATTTAGCTAAAAAAATCGGTAAAAGAACAGAGGCCTCCTTCACTTATACTTATTCCTTGGAACATTGAAATTTTTAAGGTAGACACTACAAGGCCACTCCCCTCTTAGGTGTCCTCCTTCTTGCTTTATACTTATTTGATTACATATAATTGGCCTGAACCAAGGGATAGTAGTCCCCTTTTTCTACTTCTTTCTATCCATACTAGAAAAAAAAATCATTTTATATTACTACTTGAGAAAAGAAATAAAGAGGCATTTTCTCTTATTAATGCTTTCATATATACATAGTCCCTGGCTTACAGTGTTTCAGCTTATAATTCTTTAACTTCATATGTGAAACTGGTACACATAATAGCCAATATTTTATTATAAAATAAGCTTGTGTTAGATGATTTTGCCCAACTGTAGGCTAATGTAGGTGTTCTGAGCACATTTAAAGTAGGCTAGGCTAAACTGTGATGTTCAGGAGGTTAGGGGTATTAAATGCATTTTTTACTTAATATTTTCAATTTCTGAGAGGTTTGTCTGGACATAACCCCATCACAAGTCAAGGAGTATCAGTAATTCCTTTTTGAAGAAAGTTTTTGAAGGCCCATCCTGTAGTTACTTATATTGTAATAATGATGTCAGGTACATAGCAGAAAGTATTTTAAAAGAAAAAACAGCCCTATAGGAGAACCTCTTTTATGCTGACTAAAAGTATTTTAGAGCAAGCCTTTTTTCTTCATGGCTCTTCCTCTCTGCCTAAGTATAGGATTGGCTAAATATTTATTAAGATTGCCATGTTAGCATGTGCATGGTATCAAGCCTATGTTGATTCTGTAAGAACATACAACACACTAGTTTGATCTCCATATACCTTTTTTTAATAAAACTTATATTGTACTTATATGTTAGACATGTTAGCCATTGTTTTAAGTGATGAACAAATATTAGTTTGTTTGATCATCAAATACCATATAAGCACTGTCATTATCTCCATATTATAGACGAAGAAAACCGAAGCCCAGAGAGGTCAAGTAACCTGTTCAAGGTCTCTCAGCTAGTAAGTGCAGGACCAAGGATTCAAACCCAGGCAGCCTGGCTCCAGAACTCATGAAACCACTTGTTTTACATTAGAATAATCAGTTAAACCAATAAAACTTTATTAAACCTTTTTTGGTAATCGCCTGGCCATGGGCCTAACTGTAATTAGTGAAAGAAAATTTGCCTACAGTATCAAAATTCCTAAATAGGTCATAGACTTGTTTGTCAAAATTAGTAATATCAGAAGCCTAGAGTAGAATTCTATTCAGGAGCTAAGGAGGTAGCCAAACTCCTGTCTAAAAAGATTACCTGTTCCTCCCCCTCCTCCATGGTTTATCTTAGTGTTAGAATAGAAAGGCTTTCAAATGTGATACTTGAGTTGGGTTCAGTCAATTCATGCTTTTCCATTAGATATAGCATTCATTTCTAATTGATTGTCAGTTGATAATGATTTCTTATACTTTAGTGGTTTGTTTGTTTTTTAAACTTCTGTAAGTAATTTGTGAACAAACATAAATATTCTATGGTACCATAGTGCAGATTCCACCAAACTTGTCATAGAAAAGCTACTTTTGATTCCTTGGACCTGTGGTTGGTATTTAGGTTGGTGTTTAGCAGTTCCTGAATAGGAAGGTGGCTGCCAGCTCAGCTTATCTCTCCACTGGGCCTTTCTGGGAGCTTGTGGGAGGAGGCAGGAAGCGAAGGGTATTTTTTCGTAAGTATAGAATTTCATATTTGGGATAGGCCTGTAATTAACCATTCCCTTCATAACATTTTTAAAATCTGAGTGGACCTACATGTAAAATAGGGAAAGAGAATAATTTACTTTAGCAGAAGATTAACAGAGTATCTGTCTCCATTTCCATTGTTTTCTAGGAGCAGGCTGTCCTCTTAGGGTAAGCAATATGCCATCAAGAAGCCTTTTAAATGCATTTCTCATGCATTTTAGCATTAAACTACAAGCTTCTATTATATTCTTCTGATTGCATCAATCTGAAATGTGGTATTTACAGGACCACTTTATGATGATTCCATGAAAATGAATGGCAAGATCTGTATACAGACTCACTTAGCTATTAATGTCACTCTATATTATATAGTCCTTAGGGAATAGGAGGTTATTTTCTTAAATTCTTGCTGTTTTAATAAACACAGTTTTCTGGAACCAAGGGCTTGACTTTCACTTTATTTTTTTAACAGAATATTAGAAGTGGCAAGGTGTTCTCAATTAACAGATGTAGGCTTTACCACTCTGGCCAGGGTGAGTATTTTCTCCAGGTTCTATATAGGTTTTGTTTGGGATTCTTATTTCAGAAGAATGAGCAAAGACGGAAATGTGGAATGGCAGCAGAACTGAGGGTGTGGGGCGTGGGGCACCTTATCTGTGGCTAATGTTCCTGAGTGTTCTTATGCCTGAGCTACTGGCTTGTAGAATACACACTGCTGTAGAAATGCAGTCATGCCTTGGATAACATGATGCTCCTTCATGAGGGCTCATTTTCCACATTTTCATATTATAAGTTAAAATAAACAGGGCTTTCTAGTGCTTTGTGAAAGAAACTTAACTGGTTATTTGTATTGGACTGGTGGATGAGAGTAATGTTGAAAGAAACATACAATCTTAATTTTAAATGGAGATGTTTTAAGAGATTTTTCTGTATTCTCCAGAATATTTGAGTACTTAGAGTGGTTTATAAATCGCTGTATAATAATAGTATTTAAAATTATAACTGTCTTTCACCAATGTATGGAACAAGGGGAAAGAAAGACCTTTGCTTTTGGGCAGATCAATATTTAATACAATTTAGTTTTCTGGCCTTAAATTTTTTCCATATTTTAAATATTTGTATTGTAATGTTTGGTTTTGTATTTTATAGAATTGCCATGAGCTTGAAAAGATGGACCTGGAAGAGTGTGTTCAAGTAAGATTGTGGACTTTTACTTAGAAATACAGTATGATAGAAATTTATGTAACATGCACATGAGAGCATTCCCTTCCCTCCCCTGGTGTAATGCAGTGCCTGGCAGCACTGCTGACTCTATATGTTTACTGAGGTGTCTTCCAGGCACACCAGACAGAGAACTCACGGTATGTGTGTTCAGGAAATGTATGCCATCAATAAAGTTGCCATTGGAAAGAAAGAAGGCCCAAATATTTGAGCCATAAAGATATTTCCTTAGACCTACAGGGTTTTGATGCTAGTAAATAATAAAAGCCCCATCACACTGATACATAGCTTAACTGGACACTGGACCCCTTACATCATTAGCCCTGGAGACCCAACTCTGCATGGAACCCTGTTCTTCAGGCAGGCAACCAGATACTTCCTTATCAACAATTTCTTTTTAAAAAAATCAATTTTAAGAGCTTTGAGATTAGTTGATTGGGGAGAAACTTTGAAGAGAGACTCTTAAAAAGAAGATAGAGCAATGAATTTTATTAATGGTAAAAATAAAGAAGATACTTGGACAACTATAGAGGTCAATTTTTTCTAAATTACTTGTTATCCGACACTAGTTGGCAGCTATTAGTTCTTAGACTAAAACTTGTTTGTGTCCATTTATCTCTTGCACATGCTTAGTGTCCTTTCCAGTGTTAGTCCTTCTGAGTGATGTGCACACACCTGCCTGTCCCAACTCCCCACCCCCCTGACATTTCTTAGCCCCTGTGAAGCTATATATGTTAGAATAATATAATATCTCAGAGTTGGAAGAATTTGAAAAGTACTGTTTTATTTTTTGTCCTAAGATAACTATAAAAGACTTCTTCCTTTGGGAGTTCTTCCTTCCTGAATGTTTGTAGGTAACCCAGATTCCAGCAGCCCCTTTGTGCTACCTTTGGGAAGATAACTGACACCCAAGTTATCAATCTTGAGTTGTAGCAAGGCTTATAAAATATGGGCCAACTATCTAAAAATTTGAGGGTGTTCTTACATTAATTTTTTTTTATGGAACAGTGTCTTCTGATTGTTTTCTCTGATGGTTGTAAAGAGTTAGAACAAAGTCCAGTGGGTAGAAATTATGAGGGGACAGATTTTCATTCATTTCAAAACCAAAACAGTTTTCAGCACACCTTTTCAAATATGAAGACTAGAGATAACTAGATGTGTTCCAGTCTAGCTTCTCAAAGAACAAATTCAGGTAGCCATTGAGATTTCAATTGCAAGATTTTGTTATTTAATAATTGATATCTGGATATCAGTCTTGATTACAAGTGTAGTCAAGAGTAAGGTACAGGCCATGAGTTTTTTTTTAATTATACCTAAGATAAACTTAATGTGTTTCTTTCAGATAACAGATAGCACATTAATCCAACTTTCCATACACTGTCCTCGACTTCAAGTATTGGTGAGTTTGACTCTGAAAGTTTTATGTGTTTATTAGATTTAAATATGTTTTTATTGATTTTAGAGGGAAAGGGGGAGAGAGAGAAACATAGATGTGAGAAAGAAACTTTCATTGGTTGCCTCCCATATGCACCCCAACCGGGGACAGAACCCAAAACCTGGGCATATGCCCTGACCGACAGACCAGCAACCTTTCCTCACCGGATGACACTCAAACAAAAGCCACACCATCCAGGGCTGTTTATTAGATTTAATCAAACCCAGCTTTTACTTTCCTCTTGGTGTCTGGCTACCATTTTGGGATAGTATATTTCTCCAAATTGCCAACTTACAGAGGACCAAGGGAGGAACTAAGAAATATTAAATGTTTTCTTTATCAATACTTGGAAATTAAAAACTGACATGGAAAGTATGACTTTTCCCACATGAATTGTACTCCAGCCTGAAAGATGTTTAAATTTCCGGAAGTCCTGGGGACGAGATGGCCCAAAATACAGATAGCTTCACGTTCAGACCAAAATAGAAGCAGTCAAGCTTCACTAGGGAGAGTTCTTTGCTACTGCTTCTAGTAACACCATGGGAAAGCATTCTGGTTAACCTTTCTGTATCTGGGTTCATTTTTGGTGTATTTGGTGGCACATTACTATCCAAATTGGGTCAAGGGTTCTGACTTTCACGTGTAGGAATGAGGAACTTAAGGAAAATTGATGAAGCAAAGAGATAACCACACATGACAGTTGTAAGAATCAACTTCATTTAATTAACTGGGCATCCCCCTATACCAGGTAATCAATATTTAGTCCAAATTCCTGAAATTTTTGTTTAGGAAAAGCTTGAGCCCCACTTGTCCCTGTAAAAAAGAGAAGGTTCATTTGTGTGGCCATGAGGGTAGGCAGGGGGTTGCTATCTTATTTTGTTTATGAACTATTTCACAGTCATTACATGAATTCACAAAATATATTTAGAATCACACAAAAATGTCAGTCATTGATTATCAAAAGCAGAACCCCAGTAACTCTAATTTGCTTTCTTCATTTTACCATATGGATCTAGTGATGGTCCCATATACATCAAACTCAAACTAGAAAGGTCTCCTTTCTGGTGGTACACAGGCCTCTGGCTAGGAGAATGCCATAAGATATTTCAGTGTCCTTCCTTGCTCTATTTGGCTACAGAGTCTGTCTCACTGTGAGCTGATCACAGATGATGGAATTCGTCACCTGGGGAATGGGGCCTGCGCTCATGACCAGCTGGAGGTGATTGAACTGGACAACTGCCCACTAATCACAGACGCATCCCTGGAGCACTTGAAGAGCTGTCACAGCCTTGAACGGATAGAACTCTATGACTGCCAGCAAATCTCACGGGCTGGAATCAAGAGACTCAGGGTAAAGATGGCTGCATCACTCTCTGGCTCTAGTGTTCTTAGCACCCTTTCCTTTTTTTTTAGATTTAGATTTCTGTGATTTTTACATTTACTTGGACATTTAGCAAAGGGGGGAAATGGAGAGCAAACCTAAAGGTAGACAATTTCAGGTGGAAATTTAGTAGGAAAATACCCACTGAAGGAAGAAAAGTAGGTCTCCTCCCAGCAGAGTTTCTCTAGTAATGTCCAGAGCTTAATAACATGCCTGGAGTCAAAAGCATATGCCAGATTTTGGTTCTAAAGGAAAGAAAGTAATAACATAGAGAAAATATTTAGTTAAATCGGATTTAAGAGTTTAATTCGTATATTCTTTTACATCAATCCCTTTTGCTGGGGTTTTTATTTTTTAAGACAACAAATGGATCAAGTAATTATTTCCCTTTTTCTTTTTGCCCCACCCGCCATAATAGAGAGACCCATGCATAGCCAAATGACTGGAAGACAGGTTGCCAGCAAGGAGGTTGTAAAAGGCTGGAAGAATCTATGTATTAGATTATTGAGCTAACAGACATTTATTTGAACTTCTGCTTCACACCTGTGGGAAAGGCACTGTGCTTAGTTGTCCCTTACAACCAACCTCTAAAAACTCCATGTTGACCATATGGCACCTGAGCACATAAAGGAGCACCAAACCTCATCTTGATTTCCAGTTAGCCCTAGTTCCTCCACTCCCATCAGACCTAGAGGACTTGAGAGCATAACTGCATTGGGGAATCCTTGCAGCCGTATTTCTTCTACACCAAAAAAGGAGAGCCACAGAGCATCAGAAGAAACATTGTCCACAATGACTTGGAAAAAAATTGTATTTTAAGCTTATTTCAACTATGGGAATATAGTTTATTTCAACTATGGGAATCAAACTAAGACTCCCTTTTGGGACAGGTTAAGAAATTGGTATGAAGTTTTTACCCAGTTGTATTATTGTGGAAGCAGGTACCAAAGTTGTGTGAGCTGATTTAGTCATTTAGAGTAGCGTGGAATGATACTGAGTAGAACCCAGGCCTTTCAGCATCCTGGCTGCTGGTGTTCAGCCTTTGCCCTGCTTTCATGGCCACTCAGCCCCTCAGTGTTTTTTCTGAAAAGCAACATTGCTCTTTCTGTTTAAGCCCTCTCTCTCAGTAATGTTTCTGTCTTGTTTCAGACCCATTTACCCAATATTAAAGTCCACGCCTACTTCGCACCTGTCACTCCACCCCCATCAGTAGGGGGCAGCAGACAGCGCTTCTGCAGATGCTGCATCATCCTATGACAGTGGAGGTGGTCAACCTTGGCGAACTGAGTATTTAATGACACTTCTAGAGTTATCGTGGAGTCTCCAGTGGAAGCAATCCCAGTGTTCTGGGCAAGGGTTACAAAGTGAGGCAGCGTCCAGAGCCACACATACATACACATACCCACCCACTCTAGCTCTGTGACTGAGGGACTGAAGATCGTGCTGACTTTATCAAGTGGATTGGTAAAACTTAACCATTCCTGTTGGACGTACCCAGAAGAAAATCATAGGCAAGGTAGGGGGAAGGGGGCATTCCAGCAAACCCAGTGTTACTGCTACTATGGTTTCTTTATTTTATTAAGGGGTTTATTTGGTGATTTTGGAACAGCAACTGCAGTTCTCCAGGGTCAAGGAAAGCATAGAAAAAAACAATATATGTTGTATCCAGGGACCAGAAAGAAAATTTCTTTGCATCCTATAAATGGTAGCCATCCATTGTGAGGTGACTACAGAGCTTCTCTGCTTCCTTGTTCCCATGCCAACATGCTGAGCATGCTCACAAAGAAGGCTCCTCCATTCCGCCTCCTGTTTTAGTATTTGGCCCAGAGGTTTCCTAAATGGTTGCATTGAAATCGCTGTGGTCCAAATGTGATTACTTGCTCACTCAAATTGTCACTGTCTCTAGCACACTTGTGCACCTGTTGTCCTCTGTTACTCCCTCCTGCATTCTTGCTCAGTCTGTCATCTGTTCATAGTCTGCTTACTCACACTCAGTTGTTACTCTTTTGCTGTTGTTGTGTTTACAGTTTGCATTTTGGATGATTAGTTGGGGTTACCAAACATTTTTAAAAGAGACATTATCAATAAATATTTTTTTAATTCTAAATTTCACCATTAGGGGACCCTGCCTGAATCTTTGCCAGTCTGAAGGGAAACTAGTACAAAAGCAAGAAAAGTTATGAGAAGAAATTGTGCTAAAACTATTTTGATGATAGTAAACTTTGCCTTTTGGCTTCTGTTATATCTTGTGATATGTGATAATACGCATGATATGCCCAATATTCCTCTGCACATTTTTCCTCCCATCAGGCTCCACTAAATTAATGAGGAGAGCAAAATGCATAATTAGTAAAGAGTGGAGTGGCAAATCCCAAAACTGAGCCTAAAAGCCCCCACCGCACAAACTCAGGCACATTGTGTGTTTACTGAAATCTAGGTGTGATCAGTGCCATCTCTGATTTGTGTCTGTGGGATTGTTTTGTTTTAGCAGGAATGCTGCTAGAGGAGCTGTGCTGTCTAGCCAATCGGTGTCTCTCCCCCACCCCCATTTCAGCCTGTCAGGGATACAAGAATGACACTGTAACAGCTGGTCAACTGTATGTCAGCGTTGGTGGTATCATATCTAATATTGGAGCCTCAAATGACCAGAACCTTTTCAGAACCTGTCAACCATTATTCTCCTCTTTAAAAAAAAAAAAAAGTTTTTATTGATTTCAGAGAGAGGAAGGGAGAGGGAGAGAGAAAAACATCAGTGATGAGAGTCATTGATCCTACATGCCCCCTAGAAGGGATCAAACCTGCAACCTGGGCATATGCCCTGACCGGGAATCAAACTGTGACCGCCTAGTTCATAGGTTGATGCTCAACCACTGAGCCACACCGGCCAGGCCAACCATATCTCTCTTGTTCTCCAAACTTCCCATGAATGAAATACAAGTGTAACCAGGTGAAGGAATTGGGGCAGCTGAAAGAAAACATTGAGAGGAAGTGGGTTCAGTGCCTCTGTCCAGCCTGGTCATCGGAGCTGAGGGCAGGGTAGGGTATTCAGTGCCTATGACTCAAGTCAAAGAAGCTCCCCCTCCCCACACATACACACATAAGTCATGCAGGATGAGTTAAAGGAGTTTCTAAAGTACCAGAAGTAGATTTCTAAACCTCAAGGTTAGAAACCTTGTGTTACTATTATTTTTTTTAATAGGATGGCTTTTTTCTTTTTTCTTTTTTTGTCTTTTAGAACAGTAATGTGCAGCCCACCATGATCTTGGATCATCTGCATGGTCCAGGCTGTTAACAGGCTTGTTTTAATGCTTCAAGTGCTGGTTCAACCAGCATGTATAAGAATTAAGTGTAATTTATTTCTTCACAGGCAGTCACACAGAAGGGTACTAGAAATGTGTACGACCCACCAGGATTTAACATGTTACATTTATTTTAAATCCTATTTAATAATTCCCTTTTAAAAACTCAAATTACTTATATATTTTAATTTCCCCTTCCCCTTATCCTCTTATCAAATGACAGTGTAAGGAATATTACTTTTTTTTTTTTTTAGGAATATATGTTTTTAAAGTGAGACTCACTCTCCTGGCATACCCACTTATAAATATATACACGTGCACACACACTTCCAGATGTAGTTCATAATATTCAGATCCCCAGGTCACTCATTCAAAGAAAACTAAAAAGAAATATTTAGGGGCCATCTGCTCTAATGTATAATTTTTTTTATAGTGCCTGAACAAATTGACCGTAAAACCCTGATTGATTAGTGAGTGTGGATTTGAATTGTCCAATAGCTGAGGCTATTAAGGTACTTCTTTACTTTAAAAAATACATATGAGTTTAAAAGACCCTACTCACCAGTACATGAGCATCTTGGAAATGGCTGTTTCTCTCCTCAAAGAGTGTTCCCACGTGCAGGTCCATGTGGACTTGCCCAGGGAATCCCTGCCTGTCTGGGCCAAGAACAGAGTGGAGGAGACAATAAAAGCGTGGAGTGTGCAGCGGTATGTGGTCAGGCAGGAGGCTTGTTCCTTTCTCAAGAAAACTTCAGGCCCATCAAGCTCGGAAGGAAATATATTTTTTATGCCAATCTGCAACCTACGCCAGCTGAGGAAATGTGCCAGGACATTGAGAACCCAGAACATGGTAAGTTTTGGTCAGGTGGACAGGTCATCTGAAAACAATGCTTCCTGTTTCAACATTGGGAACACTTGAAAATTCAGTAAGGTTTCACAGGTGTAACTCTCCATAGGAAAACCTTATTGTTCCATTTGTCTGACTCCAGAGCCCCTCCACAATATGCCTTTTATAATGAAAAAATGCAGGGTGAACAGAGGGTATTTGGGAGAAGAAGGTACCCTCAAAGATACTGCCATAAAGCTGCCGATAGCCAGGAGGAATTACTGCAGTGTCCTCTGGAGAAAGTTATTAAACATCCAGGTCATCTTTTTTCCAAGCAGCCTCTTTTCCCCTTATATTTTCCAGCATTGTTTGCTACATAGTTATCTTTCACATCCTCTTCATTGTCCCCATCAAAGTAATTCCAGCTTTTTTTTTTTAATTGAACTCTCCCATTTCCTTCCTACACCCATCCTTGTCATCTGTTTAAAGCCTCCATCTCACTCCCAATGAAGCTGCTGATTCTTAAATGTGTCCTGTCTAGCTTCCTCTTTGGGTCCTTGTCCTAATCTAGGCAAACTATCCTGGGCAGTCTTGAATCCAGTGACTGTCATGTGGCTCAGGCCATTTTTCACTGGGTGGTCTTTGACATTTGCTTACTGAATTAGAAATCAAACTTGGATATGAGCAATGAAGGGGATCTGCCTTCATTTTTTTTCCAATATTTGGAATATGAATCACATTATACTTCATGTAAAAAGGATTTTTTCCTATTCTGCTCCTTAGTGGATGTAAAAGTATTTCTTAAATGTTTTTTTGTAAATTTCCACATACATGAATTAAGTTGATTTAGCAGACATATAAATCAGAAATTTTATATATTCCTTATATCACACATTTTAGAGAGAAACCTGGTAAATGTTTTTATGATGCTTTATTTTGGATTTTCCAAACTGAAATTTAATATAGCTATAATGCTACAGCAGTCAAGCTCTTATATTCTAATTGCCTTGTAAAATGCATTGTTACTGGTCTAATAGCCCACTAATGCCGTGGCAGCTAAACAGTGTGCAGCGGAACCTGTCTTGGTTTGAAGTTGTTAGGAAGTGCGATACTGTCACTGGAAAGAAGAGGGTAGTTTCCTGCCTGCCTCAACTGGCAGCATATTCTTAGGTGACCGTGTTGTTTTGGAGAGGAGGGACACTTGCCGATCATGGTTGCAGACCCTTGGCCATTTAATATTTATTGTGCTGAAAGTCACTGGCTACTCATGACAGTCACCACCAGTGAGAGAGGAAATTGGTCTGTTCTGCCTTTTCCATGCTTGTGTGCATGATTCAAGGTTAGGTTTCTATTCGTGTTTTGCATCCTGGCTAACAGACTCTTTCAGTGGTATTCTTTGAACTTCTGGAATATTTTATAAAAAGATTACCTTCTCTAGCTGCCCACCAATTCTAGGGCCTTTAACCACCTCAGACTAAAGCAATGTGAATTAGCCAGATTTTGTTTGAGAAGAGGTTTAGGATGTTTGGTTGGTCTTGAGGCAGAGCCCTCTCCTTAACAATGATCTAGGACCAAAATCCTAACGCATCGGAGGGTGAGGGGACACACGGAGTCTCAGCTTCTCCTCACCTTTATTTCTATCAGACATTTTGATTGAAATATACAAAAAACTCTTAAAGACCATGTCAATACTGAATGATAAACCCAGGTAGTAACATTCGGCTGTATTGGCTATATCCAGATGCTCTAACTTACCATCTTGGTTCTCTAGCAAACACAGTGCTTCTCTAAGCTTGCCTTTTCCTTGGGACTTTCTACTGCCAGAAACTACCATTTGAGACAAGTGAGTTTTCTGCATGAAGGGCTTCTGCAGTTCCCCCCTCAGGCAAGTCTTACCTATTTTGTCTATTTTTATTCTTAGGAACATCAGTTGTACATTCCTTAAGCCTTTGATCCTTAGGAAAGTTAATAAAAACTTCTCAACCAGGTCTGATTGAATATTTGCAGCCCGAGAGAGTTACACTCAATTTTCAGCAGAAAGAAATTTGTTGGGCAAGCTCACATGTGGGATGTTAAGAGAAATTCCATAATGCACTTCTTCCATCTCTGCTTTGTGTGTTTTGAGTAAGCCCTTGGTAGAGTTTGATTCCCAGGTGTTGAGTCTCAGTGCTTCCTTAGCCAGGGTGGTTCACTGCCCCTTACGAAAAAACCACGAGCAACCAAAACTGTATCAATTGACCCTGTGTACTTTCTCTGTTTTTCAGTGTCTTGTTTTGAAGAATTGGGGTGGGAAAATGGTAGGGGAGATTCAAAGTAAAGGAGAAAATCAGTTCTGGAATTGGGGTACTTTGCTTCAGGTACAAGCATCTGTCCTGAATATATAGAAACAACTGCTTCACATGTGAGTAGATTTACTTTCCATCTAATGAACTCCAGGCCCTTCTTACTGGCAAGGAGGGCTTCTGCTTTCCACACACCTCACCAGTCATCCAATGGGGATTGGCACCACTGAAAGAACACCCAGTGCTTCCCAGCTGCTTCTGGGCAATGGCGTTCACCAGGGCAAGAGCAGGTAGGCAATACAAATCCCCACCCTAAGAAGAGGTGGGAGGGGAGAGGTGGCAAGACACATATGCCATACCCAGGGAAATCTTTGAAGTGATGTCTTTTTTTATTAAAGTGGAAGAAGAACGTTGCCCCACTAAGTTTCGCTTGTCATTGTCTCTTTCTACTGTTCCTTACTAGTACAGACCTGTACCACACTGCTGCTCACACATGTATGTGGTTCTTACCTTAGCCTAACCCTCATCAGTACCCGAAGTCATTATCCCTATTTTGTTTTTCTTTTTTTATGGCACTAGTGAATGAGAACCTGAAGTCTTAGAAAACCCTAACTTGAAAAGGAGTCTCTAATTGGCATGGTTTGATTATTTACCCTTTTCCCTGAAGACTTGAATGATTTTCTTTCCTAGTGCTATACAATCGATGTGTAATAAGTGAAACCTTTGCTGCTACTTTCCTGGGTTTACAACAGTTTTCTTCTTCCCATAAGAATAATTTATCTGTGCTTCTCTGATGACTGTTAATTTCTGAAAAGTGCAGGAAGAGGTGAGCCTGAGATTTCTTCTCTTACTCCCCTCCTTACCCTACCCCCAAATTACACACTAACCTCTACAACCTCTGTGGGATGGGGCTCATTAGAAGCTACTTGTGTGTTTTTCTCACCATGCTGCAGCTCTTAGAGCTGGCCCCTGAGGCTCTGTGGCTGCCCATACTGAGGCTTACTTCTTAATTTTGCCTTTCTCCATTCCTGTTTTATGACTCAACCTTCAGATGCCTCCCACTCTGGCCACCTCATTTTCCCTCCCAGGAATCATTTCCAAGTAACCTGCCTTGGGCATTTCCCAACTGCTCTCCTCACCTTTGCCCACCTTCCAGTGACCCTGAGAGCACAGACCTGAGAAATGCGGCCTGTGCAGAGCTCAGAGAACTGTGAGGACTACCCCTGCCCGTCAAACTCTGCTTGGGGACAGAGATGGATGGGTAAATGGTGCTGTGGGAGAAATTTTTATCTTCAAATCAGGCTCTTTCATCCCTGTACCAGCGGCCCCCTTCTGACCCCAGTCTTTGAGGGGGTAAAATACAGAGGATGGTTGACTGGCAGGGTCTGATCCCAAACATTGCTATCTGGCCTAAGCCTTCCCCAGCCTTCTGGCCTACCCTGGAGTGCTTCAGTGTGTGGGAGCTGCTGCTTACTGTTTCTCCACCAGGACTGCCCAAAGCTTAGCCAGTCCCTGGGACCGACAGTTCCCCACGTGGTGACTTGACACCAGGTTCCATTTGCTATCCAAGTGACTATGTTTCCACCCACTATCAGCGCTTGAG